CCGCAGTCGGGACTGGCTGGCAGAGGCGGGGAAGGCTTCTCCCTGAATCCCCAGGAGGGAGGGTGGCCCTGCGTACTCCTTGTTTTCAGACTTCTGCTTTCTGAACTGTGTGATGGTGAATTTCTGGCATTTGAATCCACTAGTGTGTGGCCACTTTAGTTACAGCACATGCAGGAATGAATTCAGGGCCTCAGACTAGGTTTCTTTTCTCATAGATGCTCTACAGGTGCCAACGGAACTGCCACCAGGCACTTCATCTTAGGAGCCTCACGGTGTCCATCAGACTTACCGTTCTTCCCCCTTTAAATCTGGCCATGGCCCTAGAGCTGAGTGGTCTCATCCCCACCCCACCCCCTTTTTTCATCACCTGGGGCACATGCACTCATTGGAGACAGGGAAAGCGAGAAATCACTCCCTAGGGAAGACGGCCGCAGCACAGTCTCTTGGGATTTTGGGCATGAATGCACATGTGCCAACCTGATTTTGAAGCCATCGGGTCTGGGATTTGAACCACTGTCAACAGTGTGGGAGTCCAGCACCTTAACCACTACGCCACCTGCTGGCCTCTCTCATCCCTGTGTGGCATGTGGCTTCTAGCACTGCACCACAATGAGGCATCAATTACACCTCAGAGGCTGAGCCCTGTAAGACATTTCACCTCCTCCGTTGTTTAAAGGCTGATTTTCATCTTAGCATTTCATTCTTCCGCGAGCCCAGTGACTTCCGACCGTCCCCCCATCTCTTTCCACCCCGACAACACCCACTTCATCCAACAACACGGTACACATTCTCCAAGCTCTCCAGGGCTGACCGTAGTCAGGGCCGTAAACCACACCTTAACAGACTTGAAAGGATACGAAATATGCTGTCAGACCACAGCGGGACTGAACTCGAAACCAGGAACAGGAAGATAGTTGGAAAACTACAGAAAACCTAGGGATTAAACAGCAGAGCCACACACAGCACATGGGCCGGAAAAGCAGTCTCGGGCAGTTAGACGTGTATCGAACCACATGAAGGAATTGGGTTGTTTATGTACTTGGTAAGGGTGAAATGTGAGAGGATCTTAATTTCCTTCTTTCTAAAAGAATATTATTTCCTGATAATACAGACATGTTAAAGAAAATTTGGAAGCGTATAAAAAAGCAAATAGAAAATTATCCTTAACCCTTTTATTTAGAAATAATGTGTTGATTTTAGGTTGTTTTCCCAAATGTGTTTTTTTAAATGTAAAAACATGCTTCTTAGGCAATGTAGTTATACAATTCCAGTTTTTAAAAATTAAGATGATTTTAAAGAGCTCCCTTTTGATCTTTGCAGTGTTTCTTTCATCTTTCCAGTTCTCAGCTGTCCTCAGGAAACTGCTGTTGGTAATTCCTTGTATGCATTTGCAGTGTGCATATGTGACCCAGTGCAGACAGGCAGGTGGATTCTCCCTGTTACAGAGGAGGCAGGCTGCATTTACGCCTCGCCTGCCGTGGCCTGGGGACCTCGCTGTAGCATAGCTACAGAGCCGCTCCTCGTGTTTTGGGAGCTGCTTCGTATTCTATGTGGCTAGCAGGTCACTGTACAAAGTCACATTCCCCTCGCCATAACTCATTAGCAGGACCCCACTGTGTGAATCGAGTGTGGGTTCATTTTCCTCGTGTGGTGGCTGTTCGGCTGGTGTGCAGTGGAGGCACCACACACCGTGCTTCTGAACGCCGCACGGTTCACACCTGTGTCTGTCCTCGTCACGGGACACTTGCTCAGGCTCCTGAGACTTAGAGCCTGTGTCTTCCTGGAAAGCTGAATCAGGTTTGCTTTTCTGTGTAAACAGGAACCTCGAGGCCAGCATTTCTGTAAGGAATAGAAAAAGGCAGATGTGCCCACGGTGTCCTGGGGAGACCGATCCCAGGACCTTGCAGCAGCTGTGTGGACAAGTTCCGGGAGTGTAACGGAAATGGCCCGAGCTCACACAGCGCACGCCGGGTTCCGGGCACATTCCAAGCTCTGTTCGCGATGAGCAGGTTTAAGTCCCTCACTGCTCGTGTGAGGTGGACAGTTATCACCCCCATTTCATAGGTGAGGAAACAGACAAGGAGTCCTTGCTGCACCCACCTTTTACCCAGATGCTAAGTCCCTGCAAAAGGCCAAGAGTTGGAAATTAAGGTGGGCCAGGCTTTTAGTTCTGGACACCCGCTGTGAAAAAGTGGGATGCAAACAGTGTTTGCCAAGGGCATTGGGCCCATGGATGTGTAGACGCTTCAGGCATGCCGCTTTGATTAGAATGTTTTCATTGAGTTTTAGTTTAGAAATTTCTTTCTGAACTTGCAGCTTCTATTGCAAATGTCGATAGCAGAGGTGACAGATCTTAGCGGTCCGCCTGTGTTTTACTTGGAGCAGTGGGTCCTTCATACAGAGCAGCTCAGGGCGCTGAAAATGCTTCTCTCTGGGGTGGGTTGGGGCTTTACCAGGAAGGTGAACCGCAGCTCACACAGCGCACGCCGGGTTCCGGGCACATTCCAAGCTCTGTTCGCGATGAGCAGGTTTAAGTCCCTCACTGCTCGTGTGAGGTGGACAGTTATCACCCCCATTTCATAGGTGAGGAAACAGACAAGGAGTCCTTGCTGCACCCACCTTTTACCCAGATGCTAAGTCCCTGCAAAAGGCCAAGAGTTGGAAATTAAGGTGGGCCAGGCTTTTAGTTCTGGACACCCGCTGTGAAAAAGTGGGATGCAAACAGTGTTTGCCAAGGGCATTGGGCCCATGGATGTGTAGACGCTTCAGGCATGCCGCTTTGATTAGAATGTTTTCATTGAGTTTTAGTTTAGAAATTTCTTTCTGAACTTGCAGCTTCTATTGCAAATGTCGATAGCAGAGGTGACAGATCTTAGCGGTCCGCCTGTGTTTTACTTGGAGCAGTGGGTCCTTCATACAGAGCAGCTCAGGGCGCTGAAAATGCTTCTCTCTGGGGTGGGTTGGGGCTTTACCAGGAAGGTGACCCGCTCCTACAGGCAGGTAACTCCAGGTCCTGGGGCGAGCCAGGCCTCTCTGTGTATAGCCGTCGCGGTAAGACCACCCTCTTCAGTCTGAAATCAAGGTGAAATCCCACGCTGGTACTTCTTTGTGTCAGGAGAAATTTGGTCTTTCCTCTGGAAGCTCTGTATCTTCCTAAATCCTGTTTCCCATCCTGAACACCACTGCTGGGTCGGGTAGGACCAAGCTCTGGGAGAGTTTATTTCAGAGTGACATCTCAGGCTATACAGAAGGATTTCAGAAAGTCTGCAGAAAAGTGGAGTTAAGCTACAAGTTTATTTTGGTGCAAAAGAAATCCGCGATGTAGGTCCAGCTTCTGTTTCTGTTTTGTAAGACCTATTTCCCATGAACTTTTTAAAGACCCATGTATTTCTGGCAGGGGTCTGACTAGAAATGCAGAAGAGTTCTGTAGCAGATACCTGTATGATGGGATTTTACTGTATGCCATGCGGTTGTTCAGGCTTGAGGAAGACCCAGCCTTCCGTTCTGCTCTTCAGGGTGTCCACGGTCTTCAGTTGCCTGGTGCAGATCCCTGGCTGCACTTCCCAGATCACAGGACTGACAAGGCACACAAGCGGTCTTGATCCCGGCTCAGTCTGGACCTTCAGCTAAAAAAAAATCAAGGAGAGGCAGCAGAGGGGCATGTAAACACGTGGTTGGATTTGATGTGGATTTCCCCTTTAGAAGGCAACACTTGACGATTCTAATGGATCTAAATAGCAGCTGTGAGTTACCCTAGGAGACGTTGGTTTCTACAGTGCTTCTTCCGATTTGTGCACCCGTAGGTGGATTTCGGGCACTGTGCCATTCACCGGAAGCTCCTGGATGTAAAGACATTCACTTGTGGCCAGGCTGGCCAGGTTGGCCCTCATCAGAGTTCACAGTAGACAGAGCGGCCCCAGCTGTCCCCTTACACAGCCGTTTCCCAGCCTGAAATCAGCACGCCTGCCTCCTGGGGGGGTGAAGGAGACTGCTGGTGACTGAGCGGGGCTCTCTGGGGCCCAGCTCTTAAGGCTATTTCTCTAGCTGAGACCTCAGCACGTGGCCTCGTAAATGTGAAAGGTCACGGCAGGGCCACTCGGCTGTTAAGGTCAAGAGGCGCCACGTGTGCATGGGTGCACGGGTCCCCACTCTTCCCCCGCTGCCTCCCTCCACCTCCAGCGTGGTTTTGAGCGCCATGGTCGTCCCGGTGTACTTGACGCTACCCAGCGTTGCGTTCCTAGGGCAGCGGTCCTGGGGCGGGGCTGGCCTGGGCGCTTTGCTGCCTGTTTACATCCCGGAGCTGGCTGGGAGTGAGTTCCTCTGCGCGGCACTTCCCCCGCTTTCCTCTCCACTCCGTCATTCCAGTGATCAGCAGACTCTGGCAAGATGTCCTTTTCGGGGTAAGAACTGGAGTTACTGTTCGCGTCACGGGCAGGACCCATCCACAGGAGGGGCCCTGGGGAGAAGTTGGGTTTTCATGGGGCTTTGGCTGTCTTAAACAGGGCGACGTGTCAGCGTCACGGCTTAAGTTCGCACCATGATGAGGTTGGACGGGCCTCCCGGGCTGCCCAGCAGCAGCAGGGCTAGACTGCCAGGTGGGGAAGGCACAGGTCAGGGGGATGGGCGTCTCGGGTGGCTCATCTCTTCATTCAGCTTACTCGTTTTATAAATTTATTTATTCCATGAGAGAGAGACAGACAGACAAGCACCCCTAAAAGACTCCTCAGGCCACAGTCCACCCCCACCCAGCCAGCCCAGATCCCGGACGTGTGCCTTTCACCCAGAGTGTAGGGGAGCCCGGGATGCCGGCCCACGGCCTTGCCCACGGGCTTGTCTGTTAGCGCGGCACACGCCGGGCCCAGCCGCTCAGCCCAGTGTGGCCGAGCACCGCCCCCTGAGTGGCACAGGTCAAAGCACGGTCGAGGCATTTGTTTTAAACTGGAGGTGCCTGGCCCAGCGAGATCTGGTGCATCCGACCTGCAGCACTCCCGGGGTCTGCATCTGCACGCACTTGTAGTGATGGAAGGGCTGGCCCTGCTGCAGCACCGCGGCCATGCGTGGAGCACGGGAGGTGCGTTCGCCCTGCTCACTTAGCTTTCCTGATCGAATTTTGCTTGCTTTTTAATATTTAGCTGCTCGTCATGTCAAAATGACTTGGGGGGAGGGGGGCAGCAGATAATCATCCCAAGACGGTCCTGGTATTTGGGCAGGTTCTTTCAAAGAATTTGCACATTGATAGGCCATTAGCTGTTTTCACAGGTATTGAAAATAAGCACCAGTTCTACTTTTAAATTAACTCACTGGTCTTTAGATTTGCTTTAAAAAACGAGAAAAAAACATGTGTCTCCAGCAAGTGGTGCAGTGGTAATGCAGACCCCACCCAGAGGGTCCTGAGTTTGCATCCCGGGACCTCGTTGTCCACCCTGGGTGCTTGTGATCTGGCCGGCCGAGGCCTCTATCGGGAGTACTTGTCTCTTTCTCTCTGTCTTGCTCAGGCCGGAAATAAATGAACTTGGAGGTCAAAAGCTTGCCATCCCAGAACACCCGTGTTATGTGTTAGGGTCCCAGGGTCCCGGGCAGCCCCTCGCTGAGCTGGTAATGGGGACAGGACTGGCAGACTCTCCTGAGTGACCTGCGCTGTCTCAAGAGCCTCATCTTCACCTCTTAGGTTCTTGGATCAGGGAAGAGGATGGTGGTGGTTCCTGATCTGGAAGGGCATGGGAGGCCGAGCAGGGGCTCCTCCATGCAGGCCCTGGGTGGGTTTGTTTTGGCCTCAGTGTTTTCAGACCCCCTTTCTTCCGCTCTCCTGGCGTGGTGGTTGTGTTTTCTGTCTGGTAGCTAACGTGGAGTGCTGGCACACAGCCGTTGTCTGTCTGTACGGATGGCTTCCCTCACACATTTATCTATGACTGCTACCTCACAGGGAGCAGTGGGTCCCCAGGGCCTCTCTACTGTGTGCACATGTTGCCTGGCCCTCAGGAATGGAGAGCCATAGGGCAGGATTCATTACACAAATGCCTGTGTGTATGGGGGTTGTGCAAAATTGGAATTGTTTTTTTTAGGCGTAATTGGTTTTTTTTTTTTTTTTTTTGGTAAGGTTTTTGCTATAGGGTGTGTGTGTTCACCAGAGAGAGATAGTGAGAGGGAAAGACAATGAGAGATTCCCCCCAGAGGGGATGGCCACTGCAGACCCTTCTCCTCCATTCTCCTCTAGGGATATTTTTGGGCACACAAGCACATGCACCTGGCATGATCCTCAAGCTACGAGGTCTGCAACTCAACGGTAGTTGTCTTCATGGGAATCCAGTGCCTGAGCCGCCGTGCTCCTGCTGCCCGTGGCCCTGCACAGTTGTAAGGACCGTCTCCCTCAGAGCCAGTGGTAGCAGTGGTAATGCAGCCAGCCCTCACGGGCAGGTCCTCGGGTTTACGTGCATGTAATCCGGGCTGGCTGAGACTGCGGTTGGACGTGGCTCACAGACCCTGTTGGGAGTTCCTGTCTCTCTCTTTCCTTTTCTTTCACTCCCTCCTGGAACAAATAAATACACTTAAACGAAGCTAAAAAACCTTACTTACTGTCATCTCAGGGTCTAGTTTTATATATATGGGGTACATGGAAATAAAACGAAAGTCTTTTTTCCATTCTAGTTTCATGTCTGTGCTTTTATGTCAGATTTGCTTCACAAACAAAAAACATTTACTTCAGCTGTCCGTGCCAGATTCTGTGCCTGAACGTCATTCTTCTGACTGGCATGCTTTATCTGGGACAAGTATCTTAGAAGACAGCGCGGTAATCAGGTCGACCCTGAGGAAGGCCAAGGCAGCTGTTGCCCACGTGTTTCCAGATGATTAGACTTCCTGTTTTAGTTTACAGTTCCAGTTCCAGACATAAACTAGTTCCTGCAAAGAATAATCTAGTGGGGGGGACCAGCAGTTAGCGTAATGGCTATGTTGCTGGACTCCCACTTAGTCAACCGCGGTTCACGTCCCAGACCCGGTGGCTTAAAACTCACGCCGGTGGCTTAAAACTCACGCCGGGCACGTGTGCATGCGTGCCCAAGATCCTGAGAGGAGAATGGAGGAGAAGGGATTGCGGCGTGACCATCCCCCCTGGGGGGTGATTTCTCGCTTTCTGTCTCTCTGTCTCTCTCTTGTCTGTCTGGCGAGCGCACGCGCCCTATAGCGAAAACCTCTCGGAAAAAAAAAAAAATCTAATGGCTAGCAATTTAGTGAAAGACACACTAACACCTTTATTATACAGTATAATTCCTAGGAGTTCAGACTTTTGGGAGTGTTGTTATTGGAAATAAGACACTTCCATCTTTTCTCCTTTTAGTTGACCAGATCTACCATCTGGCGTCTCCAGCCTCCCCGCCAAACTACATGTATAATCCCATCAAGACGCTGAAGACCAACACGATTGGGACATTAAACATGTTGGGTAAGTTGCCGTTTTCTTATTTTATGGCTCTTGCTAGTGATGGGCGATTCCACGCTTAGGAAATTCAATGTTCCGTCAGACTTTAACCTTGGCCTTTAACCCTTCCCCATCTCTCCGCCCATGTTATTTGGCAGTTTTGCAGTGGTATTTCAGTGTGACTCTGTTGTCAGAATTCGTCACGGGGAAGGTGGTCTAGCTCTTCGTGTTTTAGCAGCTGCTTTCTAGTCTGTGATACTTCAGAGTAAACCCCTGTATGTGACAGGAGAACTTCCGAGCGACCACCCAGCGGTCCTTCTCCTCCTTCTGACACCGGCTGACTAACTCCCAGGGTAGATGGTGTGCCTTCTGCTGGAAGGAGGTGCTGGTGGCCCTGACCCTGAGATGGGTTGGCATGGCTTCACTCGGGGTGGCAGGGGCATGATTTAGTAGCCCTCCTTGAAGGAGGCGTGGCTGGAGAAGTCTGTATGAGGGCTGTTGAAACCGAATATCTTCTCTAGACCGAACTTAGGGTTCGAATCAGAGGTGAAAGGTGTGGGGCCAGGTGGTGGCACAGCGATAATGCGGCTGGAGCCATGTGGGAAATGTCCTGGGTTCTTATCTTGGGACCTCCTGAACATACTGGGCATGCACATGCCTGTCCTGCAGCCTCACTGAGGGACATCGCTGTATAAACTTTGTTTTTATTTAAAAAAACGTGAAAGATGAAAGTGCCCATTGTTAAAGGTGGCTGTGTGTACCCAGAAGCAACATGCCCAAGCTCCATAGCTTTGTTCACTCCGTACACATCAGCGTTTAAAATTAGAGGCGTGCTTGCTTTTGGCACAGGTTTCAAAAAAAAAAAAAAAACAACAAAAAACTAGGCGTTTTGATTAGTTGCGAAATGGTGATAGAAAGGAACCACATTTTTAAATGTCAAGTAGAAAATAGATTTAATTATAGGAACATTCAAATCAGGCTCTATAAATGGATTTGGGAAATACAGTTCTAAATTTTAACGTGAGTGAAGCGTGGAGATCGGAGGCTGAAAGGCCAGCTGGGAATGGGTTTGGTTTGGTTTGTTGAGAGAGAGATTTTTTGCTCTAGGGTGCATGCGCTCACCAGAGAGATAAGAGAGAGACAGATTGTGAGAAATACCCCCCTGGGGAAATGACCATGTCGCATTCTCTTCTTCCCTGTTTTCTTCTTAGGATTTTGGGTATGCACATACATATGCCTGGCATGAGTTTCAAGCTGCCAGGTCCAGGACTTGAACCGTGGTTGACTATGTGGGAGTCCAGCGACTTAACCATTATACCATCTGCTGGTCCCTAGAAATTGTTTTTTAAGTCTCTCAGACTGAACATTTTAGGGATTTGTATTAGGGTTCTCCAGAGGAACAGTTCTTCAGTAGGATATACATGTGACATACAGATAATGAAAAAGATGCATTAAAGGGATCAGCTCCCTATACAATGGCAGCCGAGAAGCCCCAGCCTCTGTCCTCTGCAAGCCAGGGCCCTGGGAAGCTGGTGTATACTTGAAAACCCTGAGAGTTGGAGCACTGAGGGCAGGGGATGGAGTCCCGGCTCGAGCAGCCCCCCTGTCCCACCTGTTTGCTCTGTTGAGGCCTGCACGGGACTGGACCATGCCCATCCACACTGGGGGGGCCATCTGCATCACTCAGTCCACAGATTCAAATGCTCACCTCTCCTGGAAACACCCTCGTAAGACATACCTGGAAATTGTGTTTTACCAACTATCTGGGCATCCTCTAGCCCAGTCAAGTCAAGTCGACATACAAAATTAACTCATCATGGGGGTCAAGTTTGTATGGAGTGAGATTCTTCCAATCTAGAAAGGGCATTTTTCCTTCTCTTCATTACTGGATTTTGTTCTGGTCACCAGACAAAACAGGGTGCCCCTGCTTAGAGGCATGGCAGGGTGGAGTCTGTGCCCAGCCCTTCCCACACACAAGCTCCCACCCCATCATCACATCAGAACAGAACACAGGAAAAGCCCCCAAGGCACATGATACCTGGAGGGATCCCACTTCTTCCTATTTAGGGGTGCAAGCCCCACAGTGTGGGGGATTCAGATAAGGTCTTCTGCCAGAGAACTTGGTTTTTTGAGGGGATGAGGGGGTTGGACTCAAGTGTTGATGATACAGAGTGAGTGAGAGTCTCTTGAGCTAGGGCTTGAACCGGGAATGAGATAGGATGTGGAAGTCTTGAAAGAATAGTAAAGTCTTCCGGGAATGACATGGACAAAAGTTTGGTGACCAGGGGACCAGCAGGTGACATGGTGGTTAAGGCACAGGATTCCCACATGGCCAACCATAGTTTGGGTCCCAGACCTGGCAGCCTAAAACTCATGCTGGGTGCATCTGTGTTGAGAATGGCTTGTGGTATGACCATCCCTCCTGGGGGATGATTTCTCACTTTCCTTCTCTCTGTCTCTGGTAAGTGCACATCAAAAACAAAACAAAACGAAAAGCTTGGAGATTATCGCTAGGCTGGAAAGCAACCTACACGGCACTTTGCGTTTTGGACTGAGAGGAGCAGTCGTCAGCTGTTCTGCACGGGAGACATGGTGCGCTGAGCTTGGTCTAGCTTCTTCCCCAAGGCCCTTGTCTCTCTGCAGCACCACCTCCCAGCTCCTGTGCTAGCCTTCTTCAAAGTCAGACGGGACAGCTTTGTCCGGTCTCCACATCAACACCAGTCACAAAAGCAGCCTGCGGTGGCTCCCTGCTCCACCCCAGGACAATCGCTTCGGTAGATCCTGTCTAAGTCATTCCACAAAAATGATGCAGAGATAGCCTTGATATTAAAATTGTTTACGTTCCATTGCTCTTAAACTACAACACATTGTATAGGCAATGGGTATATTTTCCCCAAGTTCAGAGAAAACTACAAGCTGGAAAGACCTCCCTGAAAAGCAGTATAGTAATAGTTCCAAAAACTAAATGTGCATCTTCCATACAATCCAATAACTGTAATCGTGGACATTTGTTCCAGAGAAATAAAAACATGTCCTTACAAATAGCTGGACGACTCCATGTTCATCGTAGTTTCGTTTATTTGTTTAAGTTAAACAGAAATTTAATTTCATTTATTATTATTTAGTAGGTGATAGAGCACGTGCACTCATCAGAGAGAGAGAATGGAAGGAAGCAAGCCTCCAGGTCTGACACTCGAACCGCAGTCGGCCATATGGGAGTCCAGTGCTTTAGCCACCACACCACCTGCTAGCCCCCGTAGTAGCTTTATTTGTAATGGCCAAAAACTGGAAACACCGGGACCAGCAGTAAGTATAATGGCTATATCACTGGACTCCCATGTAGTCGACTGTGGTTTGAGTCCCGGACCCAGTGGCTTAAACTCACACTGGGCGCATGTGCGTGCACGCATGCCCAAGATCCCTAGAGGAGAATGGAGGAGAAGGGATTGCGGTGTGGCCATCCCCCTGGAGGGTGATTTCTCACTTTCTGTCTCTCTGTCTCTCTCTATCTTTATGGCGAGCTCATGTGCCCTATAGCAAAAACCTCTCCAGAAAAAAAAAGAAAAAAAAAAAAAAAAAAAAAACCTGGAGCATCCAGAACATACTGTAATAGGTAAATGAATAAATTAACTGCAGGATATCCGATCCCTGGACTGCTGTTCAGCAATGAAATAGGAAGGAACTTCTGATGTACATGCAGCAAATCAGATGGATTTCAAGAGAAATATACTTAGTGAAAAGTTCAATCCCAAGAGGTCATATAGGGTCTCAGTCTATTTATACATGAGGAGGGCTTCAAAAAGTTCACGGAAACTGTATGTCATGAATTTAAAAACCTGCGTGGATTTCAAGAATTTTTGCAGCAGCATAAACTCATACTAACTTTTTATAACATGACAGGATCTATCTGAAGCACCAAGACAGATAAGACCTCAGTCTGAAAAGAGCCCCTATTGGAGCAGAATGAATTCTGTTAACTGTGAAGCAAGAATTAACATCAGATTCACAGTGAAACTCGGGTAGAAGAAATCATTCATGTGTTACAAAAGTTTCTGTTGACAACGCCCCCAAGGAAACACCAAATAGATAAGTCATTTTAGGAAGGGGCGAGGCAGTGTTGAAAATGATGCTCATGGTGACAGACTATCCACGTGAAAACAAATTCATCTTGTTCATGCCCTAATTGAAGAGAGCCAACGATTACCAGCAGAAGAAACAGACACCACAGAGACATCTTGACTGGTTCAGCTCACACAATTCTAACCGAAAAGTGAAAATGCAGCAAACTTTTTGCTTGATGGGTACCAAAATTGTTACACCCAGATCAGCTGTAAACAAAGAACAGTGCTTCCAGTGGAAAATTGGAACAGGTGAGGTCAAGATCCTGAAGCATTTCTTCAGAAAATCGTGACGGGAAGTGGCACGTGGCTTTACCAGGATGATCCTGAAGACAGAGCACAGTCAGCACCGGCTGCCAGGAGAGGAAGTGATCAGGACGGATTAGTCAAGGGCGGTGTCATGGCAGTGTTTTCTTGGAATGCCG